CACTAACAATGAAGCTAAAGGAAGAGCTGGCGGAGACAGTGCTGAGGCTCTGTCTCCTCACAAAGCCAAAGGAGACAGAAAAGGAGACAGATAGAGAGAAAAAGGAGACAGATAGAGAGAAGAAAGAGACAGATAGAGAGAAAAAGGAGACAGATAGAGAAAAGAAAGAGATAGAGAGAGAGAAAGAGACAGAGAGAGAGAAAAAGGAGTCAGAGAGAAAGAAAAAGGAGACAGAGAGAAAGGAAAAGGAGACAGAGACAGATGAGGAGACAGAGACACAAGCAATGGATATAGATACAGATAAAGAGACAGAAACACAAAAAAAAGAAACAGAGAAACAAGAAAAGGAGACAGAAAGAAAAAAGAAAGAGACAGAGAGAGAGAAGGAGGAGACAGAGAGACAAAAGAAAGAGACAGAGAGACAAAAGGAGACAGAGAGAGAGAAGGAGGAGACAGAGAGACAAAAGGAGACAGACAATGCAGCAGCAGATTCGCTGCTGCTGATGGCTCTTATAAACACTGCAGCAGAAGAAGGAGACAGGGAGACAAAGGAGAGAGATAGAGAGACAAAAGGGAGACAAAGAGAGACAAAGGAGAGAGATAGAGACAGAGAGACAGAAGGAGACAGAGAGAGAGAAGAAGGAGACAGAGAGACAAAAGAAAAAGATATAGAGACAGAAGGAGGAGACAGAGAGACAGAAGGAGACAAAAAAACAAAAAGAGGAGACAGGGAGGAGACAAAGACAGCACTCATTATTTCTTTTGTCTCCTTTCTTCTCAATCCAGCAGCAAAGACAAGCAGCAGCAGCAGCAGCAGCAGCAGCAGAAGCAACATTACACCCCTTGTTGTCTCCGCGCTGCATGCGCTCTGCCCCCAGGCCCCAGCTGCTGCTGCTGCTGCTGCAGCAGCAGCAGCCGCAACAACAACAGCAGGGGTTACAGCAGCAACAACAGCGGCAGCAGGAACAGCAGCACCAGCAGCAGCAGCAGCAGCAGCAGCAGGAGAGACAGCTGGTGTGTGGGGTGCGAGCAGCAGCAGCATTGCTGCTGCACTGAGGTGGTGGCAGCAGCAGCAAGGAGACAGGAGAAGGAGACAGTTGGTTCTGTCTCCTTTCTGCTGCAGCAGGGAGGAGACAAACCCGGTGGGGATTGTCTCCTCTTTGCTGCTGCAGCACCTAGAAGCAGCAGCAAAAGGAGACAATAGAAAGGAGAGAAATGCTGCTGCTGCTGCTTCTGCTGCTGCTGCTGCTGCTGCTGCTGCTGCTGTTGCTGCTTTTGTACATAGCCTTGAAGCTATAGAAGAAG